TTGTCCGTTTCTGCTGGCCTTTTGCAGCCAGAAGCACAGACTAGACTGCATCACTCTGCCCCTTGCACATTCCTGTTTTACTTATGATAAAGTCAGAGCTCCTGCACGGTGCGGTCAGGCTCTTACTCCACTGATTCCAATCTCGTTCTGTCCTGTGACGCCCAATGCTCCCTGTAGTTTGGGTTGTTTGTTTGTTTGTTTTTGAGACAGGGTTTGTCTCTGTAATCCTGGTTGTCCTGAACTTGCTCTGTAGACCACACTGGTCTCGAACTCAGAGATCTGCCTGCCTCTGCCTCCCAAGTGCTGAGATTAAAGGCATGTGCCACCACACTGGCCTGCTTATTTTATCTGTCTGTCTGTCTGTCTGTCTGTCTATCTATCTATCTATCTATCTATCTATCTATCTATCTATCTATCTATCTATCTATGTTTTGTTTTGTTTTGTTTTGTTTTGTTTTGTTTTGTTTTGAAACAGAGTCTCACTGTGTACCCTGGCTACCTTAAAACTCTGAGTAGACTAGACTAACTTGAAACTCAGAGATCTGCCTGCCTCAGCCATTAGTGTGCTGGAATTAAAGGTATTCGCCAGCATACCCTGCTCAATGCTTATTTTAAAAGCAACTCCTTCATTGAATTGTCCACTCAGCCACTAGGGCAGCCAAGGCTGCAGTAATATACCTATCCCCTTGATGTGAAAAAAAAAAAAAAAATCTAGTACAAATGACAATGTAGCCAGCCCTGTGTTCACAATCCATTATATTCTAAACAAGCCAGGCATGGTGGTGCACTCATTAAATCCCAGCACTCAGGAAGGCCAAGGCAGGTGGATCATTGTGAGTTTGAAGCCAGCCTGGTCTACAAAATGAGTCCAGGACAGCCAAGGCTACACAGAGAAACCCTGTCTTGAAAAAACAAAAAAAGAAATATTTGAAAATAGATCCCTACTGTCGTTTTCAGTGAAAAAGCCCAGGCATCTGCAAAGGGAGGCCATACTGTGGGACAGGCTGGTGGACTCTGCTGAGGTTTAATGCCAAATCCCACTGCTGTGAGCTTCATCAGGTTCAATGAACAGTAGTCAGGAGCAGAATTCCTCAGCCCATCATTAGTAATCACCCCACCTGAGTGGACTCCATTGGGAGTTCTTTTGAGCCTATGTTTGAACCAGTTACAGAACATTTACAATGTATTTGAACTCCACTGTTAACAAATCCTGTCTTTTTATGAGTCTGGTATAATCATCAGCAAATGCAGAGGCTGGCCCACAGAAGTGATACCAAGGGAAAAGATGGCTCGAGGCCCAGCCCTCACAGCTCAGCCATTTGCCTTCTTTTTGTAGGGGAAGGTCACTTGACCTGAGAGGCAGGATCTCCACAGTAAGGAGGGGAAGGAATCAGTTTGTCATGAAGGAGCTAGAATTAATTGATGAAATGAAACTGGACAGCATAGCCATAAGGTAACACTGAGAGAGACAGCCCACCCTTCAAATTACCCTTCAGAGAAGTTGTGTGTGATTGGTTATCCAGCTAAATTCTGGTGTCAGGTCAACTTTGTCCTTAAAACCGAGGTCAAATATTAATCCTCCCATCAAAAGAAAAAGTTAACCCTCGTTGTAAAATGTTCTGTTTCTGCTGATGATCACCCGCCTCTCTGTCGCCACATTGTTGTGATTTTATCCTGTCACATGGGTTTTCCCCTTTCCAGACTACAAGCTTCCTGAGGATCCAGTTTTCCCCATCTTTAAATTATGGCGGATGTACACTGTGTGTTAGTCAAGTGAGTGACTGGCAAGAGGAAGGCAAGTGTGTGCATGGAAGTAAACCATTTTCGATTTAGAGTCTAAAGGCAAACATTTCATGAAAATGGGGACCCTGTGTTGCTAAAAGCTCCCTTCTCCTTAAGCAGTCAGTGCTTCGTATAGTAGGAGACCCCAAAGACCCCAAAGAAATCGCAAAGGAATGGAAAGAAGGCCAGCTGTAGGCAAAGGTTTTGGTAGTTCTAGACTTTCTTATGTTTTTCATTTCCTCTAATCCACCCACCAAAGTGTCTCTTCCCCAAGCGAGTGGCTCCCTTGGGAGAACTCAACGGGCCTGATTCCGCTTTGGTCACTTTAGATCTCCACTCTTTATCAGATCTAACTCCTGTGTCCCCCACTGCCTCCTATAGATTCCTGTACTAGTTACAGCCACCAAAAGACATTGGTCATCTGTTCCAGTCACAGGAATGAAATCAATCCAAAATGCGTAACCCAAAAGACAGACCCGATAAGACTGCACCAGGCACCATGGCAAGTGTCAGATTACCCATGCCACCTTCTCCTTGGAAATGACAGGCTGCCTGTAGGGCTGCTGACTTCATATATCCACAACTGTTCCAGGCTCTGAGGTGGAGCAGCTCGTCGATGTTATAGGCGCAGTATGCCCCTTAGAATACAGAAATCAGTGACTAGATCAGATAGCCCCGGAGGATGGGCAGATACGGTCCTTGTGTTACAGCCGTCCTTGTTTCTCTTTGGTAGGACATGGTGCTAACGGGGGGCCACCAGGTGGTTATCTTGTCACCCTGCTTCCCAGTGTGGAGCTCAGGATGAGCTCCATGTGTGGCTATGTGTGGACCATGTGTGGCCAGCCCCTCTCACAGAAGAGAGCCAGGTTTCCTCTGGTGAATATGATCCCTTTACTTGTTTGAAAGTGTTCTTGAACAGCCTGAGTAGTGTTTTCCTGTGTGCAGAGCGTCTTCAGGCCTGGACTGCCAAGGTGACCTCATTTGCTTCTCTACCTTGGGCAGTGACTACACAGAGTGCAAAGTCTTACTGATCCTTTCAGAGCCAGTTTGAGCTACTGCTGGGTTTGAAAGAGTCTGATAACTGGGCCTTTGTCTGATCACTGATAACACTTTTAATTTAAAGTTGGCTGTCCATCTGATGATAAGTACAGCTGGAGCAGACAAGCACGCTAGTGTTCTAGAATCGATGGGGTTCAAACTGAGGTTTGCCTGAATAGGTCCACAGTGGAAACTGGTTTCTGTTACACTGCACTTTCAGCCATTTTCACTTTGGCAATTTCTACCGTAGTTAGCTGCTACTTGAGATTTCTGTACCATTTCCCTTTAAATATATTTACTATACATGAATGCTTATTTTAAGGACATAGATAGAAAACTACTCTTCCTTGTTCTTAACTGGAGGTAATCAATACAATGAAAATAAAGGTCATTAAATTCTACTTAAATAATACTGCTCACTAAGGCTGAACCCATGGTCAGTCTCCAGGTATGATTAACCTGGGATTAGGGCATGCTAACACCATCAGGGACTGTGATGGATGGAAAGAGAGCCCTCTCCCTAATTACCTCAGTGCCAGCCTATCTTAGATTAACACTGCCTTTGAAACTCTGGTACCCTT